TGGGCATTGCCCTGCTTATAAGAGAAGTTAGGTTTCATTGGTGTGTATATTTGTTTGGTTATAGAGAAAACTCTCCTTGTCTTTTAAAGAAACTGAACAAGGGGCAAAAACTTTACCTTCAATTTTCTCAAAACAGCTTTTTTTGGGACAGCCCCCTTGTGCTTAAAAGCTCCCATTTGTCCTGTGGAATCTCATTAATCACAGAATTGACAGGCCACAGAGTTTCTACTGCTTTAAACAGTACCATCGATGACTTTAATCGCCAGGCCGGAGTATGCGCTCACTACTGCTGGCGACTGAAGTCGCCGACTCAACCAGGCGCACTAAACATAATTGAACTACAAATGAATGGACTACACTGAAGTAAATACCAAAGGAAGTCACTCTTACTATGTTATGACAGCTGAGTGGTTGATGAACCTCTGTGAATTTTTAAAACGTGTTTCTTGGGCTGTCAAAGTTTTTTTGATTAAAAAGAATTCTACCACAGCTTCAGCGTTCTCAGTAGAGGAAGTGAGTGTTCATCCAACCATGTTTGTCCATCCCACAAAACTGAATTTTTCCATTTCAAAGGGGAGCGGGAGGGATAGTAATTCGTTGAGTATTACAGGGTTTTTTCGGCCTCCTTAAATTCAAGGAGTCCTTAAAAACTCTGAATTTATATTCAAGGAAAAAATTGTCCTCGAAAGCTCCTTGAATTTGAGGAATCTCCTTGAAAACTCCTTGAAGTTAGCCGGATTGGACATGATCAAAATTTTTGTAGGAAAATTGAAACTACGAATCCTTTCGGACAAGTGTAGGCCTTTAGAAATAGGCATTCGGCATGAATTTCTTGACCAAATCTCCTTGAATTTGTAAAAATGTTACCTTGAAATCTCCTTGAATTTGTAAAAAAATTTCCTTGAAATCTCCTTGAGTTTGGTGGGGAGTCCATGGCAAGAACCCTGGTGTTACTTCAAAGTGATTCAAATGGGTAGTTAAAAGGAACATATGAAAACATGTTATGATAATTATTGTGTTGTTTCTTGACTTGAGCTTTTTGTTACCCTGACTTTCATTGTTCACTCACAGCTGGTGGTTTGAGTTTGACCGAAAGGAGTCGGACAAGATGTTGCTACTGCCTGGCAACCCTCGCGGAACTTTCCTGGTCAGAGAAGCCACAGGTGAGTGTGTGAGTGAGTGAGTGAGTGAGTGGATGGGTGAGTGAGTGAGTGAGTGAGTGAGGGAGGTGAGTGAGTGAGTGAGTGAGTGAGTTGAGTGAGTGAGTGAATGAGTGAGTGAGTGAGTGAGCGCTGGAATAAAACTAAGCCCATTGAGTCTGTGAGGCTGGTATATACGTTCAGGTCTTTTTTCTTGATTCTGTAATGCCATATATAAGTATGCCGTATATACGTACAGGTCTTTTTTCTTGATTCTGTAATGCCATATATAAGTATGCCGTATATACTTACAGGTCTTTTTTCTTGATTCTGTACGGCTGGTCTATAAATTCAGGTCTTTTTCTTGATTTGGTTAGGCTGGTATATAAATTCAGGGTTTTTTTCTTGGTGGTGTAGAGTAAGGCAAGTGTCCCCTTGGGTCAACCATGTTGGGGGAGGTCCTGGGATTGGGATGTGGGAAGGTTCAGGGTTCAAAGGATCAAGACTTACTTCTCATAATAGGTCACTTTTAATAAGGACAAGTGGGCTAACCCAGATTTTTGGGGGTTTCCCGAAATCTTGACCTACACCAAAATTGGGCATTGCCCTACTTATAGGAGAAGTTTGGTTTCATTGGTGTGTATCTCTCTTTGGTTATAGAGAAAAACTCTCCTTGTCTTTTAAAGAAACTGAACAAGGGGTAAAAACTTTACCTTTGATTTGATCAAAACAGCATTTTTCAGGATAGCCCCCTTGTGCTTAAAAATGACCAATTAAAGTAGGAATAATTGATAATGAATATAGAGTAGTCCATTCTTGACAGCAAAACCGCTCTGTGGCTGTTGGGCAGATGTTGCCGCTGACTGAATTTTTAAAGAGGAGTAATTTGCTCGAAAGAAATATGATTAAACAAGTTTTCCTGTCTTTAAAAAAAAGTACAGTATATGCAGTTTTTTCAATTTTACAGGAGAGCCCGAAGAGGTTATAAATAAATAATGTTCTATTTATAACCTCTTTGGGAGAGCCAAAAATCGAAATGTTGCTACCAATAGAACATTTGCTCTATAGATAATAAGGAAGTTATCAAAATTGGTCGCTTGTAAGGACAAGCGGGCTAACCCAGATTTCGGGGGTTTCTAGAAATCTTGACCTACACCAAAATTGGGCATTGCCCTACCTATAGGAGAAGTTGGGTTTCATTGGTGTGTATATTTGTTTAGTCATAGAGAAAACTCTTCGTGTCTTTTAAAGAAACTGAACAAGGGGCAAAAACTTAACCTTCGATATTCTCAAAACAGCATTTTTCAGGATAGCCCCCTTGTGCTTTTAAAAGTGACCAGTCATATTAAAAAAAATATTGACTTTGGATGTTCGCAAAGAGTTTGTTTGCTTAGTAACATTATTCAATTTTTTTTTACCCTTTTGTAGTATTGGAAAGACTGCATGTACTGTATTTTTTAAAATGACGGCAGAGGTTTGGTGCATCAATGAAGCTCTCCGATTAAAATTGCCTGCCACTTCTCACCAGGTTGAATGCTCGTGCTGATATCACGAACAATTTGTGATTGGCTGAAAATTGTACACAGTCCGTGATAATATCATGAACAATTTGTGATTGGCTGAAAATTGTACACAGTCCGTGGATGATCAATGGAACTTTGTGTTTCAGAGATTACCCTATCTAAAGTGTTGCTGTTCTTTGTGTTTGTGCATGGAATATTTTAACAAATTCTTAGTGGGTGGTTGGCGGGTGCTCTGGTGTGGTTTGCTCCTTCTTTCTTATCAAACATCTATCGTCCTGATCTCTCCTTCTTTTCTTATGTTTGTTACTCTCTTGTAACACCTCTAATCTTCTGGCACCTATATGTCCTTATGCAGTTGCGAGCATCGTAAAACTCTTACTCAAACTAAAATTCTCAAATTTTTTTTCTTTGCGTTGTTTCAGATAAATCGACGTATGTACTCTCGGTGCGGGACAACGACAAAGCCTCTGGGGAGCCGTGTGTGAAGCATTACCGCGTGCGCAAGATGGACGACGAGAGGGGATATTTCATCAGTGCCAAAAAGACTTTCAAAACATTGTTTGACGTCATTGAACATTACAAAGGTGAGATTGTGAGATTGTGAGATTGTGAGATTGTGAGATTGGCGACGTACAGTTTCGGGGGAACTTTTTACTCTTTAGATGGTTTCTGTATGACAATGGTCTCAATATTCCGCTATTAACTCATTGAAGACGCACTGTTTCGGAGTACATACTTAAAAAATATAGAGGCATAGTTACGTTTTTCGAGCAGATTTACCATTCTGTTTTCTTTGTTTGAAACTTTAATGAGGCTGGCAAAAATATATGCATGCTATGAAATATGCAAAGTGACGTATTAGGTTTGTGTACGATGGTTCGAAACGTGCTGCAACGTCACCTTTGGTCTGTTACTGATTGCCGGTCGGACACATGCGTCCGCTTCGTCCGTAAAGAGTTAAGCGGGTTTCCGCTACTGCCATTTCCTCCGCTAAACCGTTGAGGAACAGTCATCGGCAAATCAATGAAACTTTCACAGAATGTTAAAAGCATACAAATCTAGCTTTCTATAAGAGAAATTATTGATAAATGCATTGGTTCTTAATCTGTGAGCTTGAAAAGCTAGGTTTTCCAGTTTTTCCACCATTTCGCTTTAGCCGGAATTGAAAGTGCCATAAAATAAAAACTAAAGCTGATATAAAAAAATTGCTCTTACAGACAGTGACATTTTGTGGCGTCGGTGGCCTAGTGGTTAGGCTCTCGGACTCGCAACCGGAAGGTCGTGGGTTCGAATCCCGTCAAGGGCCCGACGTTGTGTCCTTTGGAAAGGCACTTTACACGAATTTTCCTCACTTCACCCAGGTGGGAATGGGTACCCGGCTATAGACAGCGAAAGATCTTGTCAGTTTGTTAGTGTTTGAGCGCTTAATCGGCTGCTCGCACTGTATGCTTCCCGGGAAGCTGAGAATGTTTCGGAGTGTACTATGGTCTGCTGGGGTAATAATATAGTGTAAAGCGCATAGAGCCTGCTGTTGAGCGGGGATATGCGCTATACAAATGCTATCTATAATTATTTTATTATTATTTTAGGCCGTTTTGAGTTCCTATGAGGTTCCTTGAGGTCAGAAACCAAATGTTTCGTCTGCCCTATCAAAATAGTGAGATTATTCGGAGTCGTTATCGAGATATTCAAAGAATCGCTTTTGAAAAAGCTTGACAGGTTTTGAAACTCAAAATGTTTAATGTCAAAATTTTCAAAACTAGGTACAGAGAAGTTATAACTTTGTTATGTTGGTGTAGCGACTAGTAGATCCTAGGTCAAAGGTCAAATGTGTGGAGGACTAGAGGTGTTCCTAGGGACTGACGTACAAAAAGGAAAAGTAGGAGAGATAAAGACGATAGGTGTTTGACAGGAAAGAAGGAGCATACCACACCAGAGCTCATATGTTGTTGTTAGCGATCCAGTAGCATCTGAGCGTTAACTCTTCTGCATGATGCCATTCGGTAATAGCTTCATGTCTGTTCTAATTGTTGTCTTGAGGAGTAGAGGCGTTTAGATGTGTGGGGTAGCTTGGGAAGAAAACAACCCCTCAGATCGGTGGTTAGTTTTCTACAGAAGAAGAGGGGATGATGTTCCACTGTCTCTGAGGGGTAGTCACATAGTGGGCAGGCAGCAGACTGCTTTACTCCGATTCGGTTTAGATGTTGATTGAGGGGCACATGTTGTGTTCTAAGTTGGAAGACCAAAGCCTGCTCTACTCTGGCGTTGACCAGATGACTAGGACATATAGTTACTTGAGGGAGGCTTTGCTCTGCCAAGAGCGAAATGCTGGCAGCTAAAGGCTGTCCCCGTGGTTTTATGCACCCCGCATAATTGAGCAACATTTGATTTTTGGGGGGCATAATTTCTGATTATTTTCCTTTTTCATTCTTTGTTAGAATTAACAGAATCGCATAATTTCACGTTTTTGTGCTCAGTTTGCATAATTTCAGAATTTTTTTGGGCTTAAAACGACGGGGACAGTAGGGGCGGGCACGAGACGAGCCGAGTACTCGTTTCTCACGAGAAATGCCCTTCCCGTCGCTGCCCGGGCAATAAACTACTGCCCGGTACCGAGAAGTGATACTGCTCGTTGGCTTGACATAACGAGTAACGTAACGAGAGTGAGAGAGTGAGAAGCGAGAAATGACACGCAGACAGTGCCACCCATTACCGTGCCGTCCTGTGTGTGAAACTGAAAGGGAGGGGAGAGGGTGACGAGACGAGGCGAGTGGGGAGTTGATCAGGGCCTAGGCCTAGGTCTCCCTACCTTCCTTCACCGCCTGCGCCTGCGCAACAGGGCTAGCCTAGTTTAGATCCCCGCCACGACCGGCCTTCTCGTTAAACGAATTGCTCGTACTGCGGAGCGAGAAGAGAAATTGGTCACGAGACGAGAAGCATTTCTCGGGACACGAGACGAGAAGCATTTCTCGGGACCGGTCCCGGCGAGAAGTAGGTCAGCTTCTCGGTCTTCTCGCTCGGGAAGGAAAAAGCGCTTACCGCCCGTCTCTAGGGGACAGTAAATGGATTTGAAAACAACAAACAACAACAACAACAACAAGTTCTAAGATTATTAGAGCACATATGAACCACCCGTGCGGTGGAGCTGGAACGCTATCGTTGTGGTTGTAACGGCAGGCACTGTAACACTGTGGTTGTAACACTGTCGTTGTAATGATGGGCGCTATAACGCTGTGGTGGTAACACTGTCATTGTAACGGCAGGCGCTGTAACGCTGTGGTTGTAACACTGTCGTTGTAATGGTGGGCGCTATAACGCTGTGGTGGTAACACTGTCATTGTAACGGCAGGCGCTGTAACGCTGTGGTTGTAACACTGTCGTTGTAATGGTGGGCGCTATAACGCTGTGGTGGTAACACTGTCGTTGTAATGGCAGGCGCTGTTACGCTGTGGTGGTAACACTGTCGTTGTAACGGCAGGTGCTGTAACGCTGTCATTGTAACGCTGTGGTTGTAACGCTGTCATTGTAAGGGCGGGAGCCTCAACGCTGTGGTTGGAACGCTGTCGTTGTAACGATGGGCGCTGTAACACTGTCGTTGTAACGCTGTGGTTGTAACGCTGTCGTAATGCTGTGGTTGTAACGCTGTGGTTGTAACGCTGTGGTTGTAACGCTGTGGTTGTAACGCTGTGGTTGTAACGACGGGCGCTGTGACCTCGTGTGTTTCAGATAACTCAGACGGCCTGTGCTGTCAGCTGGGAGCGGCGTGCCCCAGGAGCCGGCCCACCGTCCAGTTCCGAGAGCTGGAGATCAAAAGGGAGGTCATCGAACTGACCAACAAGCTGGGCGCAGGCTGCTTTGGCGAGGTCTGGAAAGGTAGGTGACAACAACGATAATGATAAGAATAATAACAATGATAATCATAATAATATTGATAATTGTAATAGTAACAATAATAACAACAATAATAATCATAATATTAGTAACAGTAATAACAATAAATAAAAATAGTAACAACAGCACTAATAATAATCATAATCATAACAATAATATTAGTAATAATAAAAATAATATTAGTATTAATAATAAAAATAATAATAGTAATAATAATGATAATAATCATAATAATAATAGTAATAATAATAACAATAATGGTAATAATAATAACTATAATAATAGTAATAATAATAATCATCATCTCTGTGACATGTTACGTTTGTTGTAATTGATGAGATTCTCATGGCGGCTGCGATGTTCCACTTGCCAGGTAAACTGAGGAAGGTGGTGGAGGTGGCGGTGAAGACCTTGAAGCCCGGGACCATGTCTTCGGAGGCTTTCCTCAACGAAGCCAAGATCATGCACAAACTGACGCACGCCAAGCTTGTCCAGGTACGGCCTGAGTGTAATAATAATAATAATTGCATTTATATAGGGCATATCCATGCTCAATAGCATGCTCTATGCGCTTTACAACCATTATTACCCCAGCAGACCCTCTGAAAACACTCAGAAACATTCTCGGCTTCCGCGGAAGCATACAGTGCAAGCTGCGGATTTCACGCGCTAAAACACTATCAAACTGACAAGATCGTTCACTGTATATAGCCGGGTACCCATTTCCACCTGGGTGAAGTGAGGAAAATTTGTGCAAAGTGCCTTTCCCAAGGACACAACGTCGGGCCCCTGACGGGATTCGAACCCACGACCTTACGGTTGCGAGTCCAAGAGCCTAACCACTAGGCCACCGACGCAGTGTGGGCAGGCTGATTGTCTCCATCATCAGCTGGTTGTTGTAGTGTGTGATTGTCTCCATCATCAGCTGGTTGTTGTAGCGTCTGATGGGGTCACGCAGCCTGCTCCTACCTTCACTTCCTCTCTTTGTCTCGTTCTTCCCTTTTTGTTTCGTTCATCTCTCTTTGTCTCGTTCATCTCTCTTTCTCTTGTTTTTCTCTCTTTGTCTCGTTCATCTCTCTTTCTCTTGTTTTTTTCTTTTTGTCTCGTTCATCTCTCTTTCTCTTGTTTTTCTCTAGTTGTTTCATTCTTCTCTTTTTGTCTCGTTCTTCTCATGTCGTGGGTGGTTGGCGGGTGCTCTGGTGTGGTTTGCTCCTTCTCTCCTATCAAACATCTATCGTCTTTATCTCCCCTTTTTCTTTTTTAATGTTTGTCACCTTTAATCTTCTGGCGCTCATATGACCTAATGCAGTAAGCAATTGCGAGCGCTGAAAAACCTCTACTAAAACTAAACTAAACTCTCTGTGTATCGTTCTTCTCTCTTTGTCTCGTTCGTTCTTGTCTTGTCTTTTTTTATCTCTGAGCTCTCAACAATTATGATGATGGCGATAATAATGATGATTATTATTATTATTACTATTATTATCATTATCATTTTTATATATTTTTGTGTGTTTCAGTTGATGGCTGTGGTGTCGGTCCAAGAGCCATTCCTGATCATCACGGAGCTGATGGTGAACGGTGCGCTGCTGGACTACCTCCGCTCCGAGGAGGGCAAGAAGCTCAAGTTTGACGTGCTAATCGACATGAACGCCCAGGTCAGTCGGGTTTTTTTTAGTTTTTGTAAGTGGCTAGGAGCAGCAAGAACAACAGACACCATTGCTGCAACGCAAGACAGAGTGATGTGTAGGTCCATGATCGCCCACGCCAGTCGGCAGGGCACCGGATGATGATGATGATGAAGTGTTTAACGGCACTTGCAACATGATACGGTCATATAAGTGCCGAAGATTAAAGTTGTTTAGTTTCGGTAAGTGTTTAACGGCTTTTGCAACACGATACGGTCATATAAGTGCCGAAGATTAAAGAAAGTTGTTTAGTTTCAGGAAATCTGTTAACTAAAAGGGAAAGAAAGAATGTAAGTCATCTGCAAGCTCTTCGACTGTTCTCTAGGAGAAAGAAAAAAACAAATTTGTGAGGCAGCGTGGTGAATTCAGGCGCCCGTCAAAATAATGAAATCGGAGAAACAGGCATTTTTCCACTAGTTTGGACATTTTTATAGAATTTTTTATTTTTTGGCCTGACCTCTTTTATGCCCATATAAAAAATATTTCCGTGTGAATTTTACTGAAAAAACATTGATTTAAGGCACAAAATATATTATTTGTCAGTTTTCAAAGACTCCTTAGCTATCGGAGTTAGTTACCAAACTTTGGCAGACCCCCGGGAGCAGTGCCACTGACTGAAGTGTCTTTAGGCCATTCCCAAAGTTCAAGCATAGTAGAATTGTAAATGGGCTGATTCATGTCACGCTCATAACTGTGCCTGATCTACAACAGGGAACTGCTGCTTTTTCTTTCCTGATCCTTACTATTGTCATTTTCCTCTACTTCTTTTGTATGTTTGTCACACTCTTGTGACCCGCTATTTCCGGGGTGCCTTGATAGTCGAAGCAGACCTTGTGCTGTTGGAGCTAGAGAGGTGAGCAGAGTAAGTCTGATTCCCTGTAAAGACTTCTCTGTTGACACCCACCCCTTGGCGCTCATATGACCTTATGCAGTTGCGAGCGCCGTAAAACCCTCTACTTAAAAAAAACCCAAAAAAACTTTGGCAGCCATTTTCTCTATAATTTCACCTCTGAAATCAGGCGACCTCACTTTCTGCAATCGCAGATATCTTGAGTTCTATTCAAGATAAATGGATATTTATTTCATTTTGAAGCAAAGGCAAATAAATCAGCTTTACAATGATACCAATAACTCCACATGCCCAAAAATTGACGAGCGCCTGATTCCACCTCGCCATGACACATTTGACTCATCTCTCCTCCCTCTCCAATGTCTGTGGCTTGTTGTGCGTTCCAGGTGGCAGAGGGTATGACCTACCTGGAGAGCGTCAACTTCGTGCACCGAGACCTTCGCGCTGCCAACATCTTGGTCGGGGAACACTGCGAGGTCAAGGTCGCGGACTTTGGTCTGGCTAGGGTGTTGCAGGATGATGATGTTTACGAGGCCAATGAAAGTGAGTTGTGACATAATGTGTGTTAGACTGTCGTATTTGTGTCATGGCGTGTGTTTGACTGTCATATTTGTGTCGTGGCGTGTGTTTGACTGTCGTATTTTTGTCTTGTGAGTGTTTTGACTGTCTTAGTTGTGTCTTGATGAGTGTTTGACTGTTGTATTTGTGTCATGGCGTGTGTTTGACTGTGATATTTGTGTCATGGCGTGTGTTTAATTGTCTTATTTTTGTCTTGTGAGTGTTTTGACTGTCTTAGTTGTTTATTGATTCCACTAAAACCAAACAACCTCTTGTGTTGCAGACGCCAAATTCCCCATCAAGTGGACCGCCCCTGAGGCGGCCTTAGAGAGAAAGTTCAGCATCAAGTCTGACGTCTGGTCGTTTGGCGTGCTCATGTACGAGATCATCACCTTCGGCAAAGTGCCTTACCCTGGTGAGTGGGTGGTTGGTGGGTGCTCTGGTGTGCTTAGCTCCTTATTTCCTATCAAACATCCATCGTCGTTATCTCTCCTCTTTTTTTGTTTTGTATATTACTGTCTTGTAACACTTCTATTTTTTGGTCACTTATATGACCTTATTGTGTTGCAAATGCTGTAAAACTCTTACTTAAACTAAAACTTTATGTCCCATTACCTAAACTAAAACTTCTTGTCCCATTACCTAAACTAAAACTTCTTGTCCCATTACTTAAACTAAAACTTCTTGTCCTATTACTTAAACTAAAACTTCTTGTCCCATTACTTAAACTAAAACTTCTTGTCCTATTAAACTAAAACTTCTTGTCCCATTACTTAAACTAAAACTTCTTGTCCCATTACTTAAACTAAAACTTCTTGTCCTATTACTTAAACTAAAACTTCTTGTCCCATTACTTAAACTAAAACTTCTTGTCCTATTACTTAAACTAAAACTTATATGACCCATTACCTAAACTAAAACTTATGGCCTACTTGTGTTTCGAGTGCCGTTAAAATGTCGGTGTGTTTGGTTCCTGTCAGGCATGTCGGGCGCGGAGGTGCTGCAGATGGTGGAGAGGGGTCGGCGCATGAGCAAGCCCACCAACGGGCCAATCGTGGTGGAGGACGCCTACTTTGAGATGATGCTGAAGTGCTGGAACAAGGTGCCCGAGCAGAGGCCCACGTTTGAGCACCTGCACGACTTCTTCGACACCTACGACATCGGCACAGAAAAGAACTACCGCGAGATGGACGATATTTAGTCGTTGATTGGTCAGCCGGAGGGGAGAGAGCGAAGGTGTTGTGTTGTTGAAGAATTTGCCGTCTGAATCACGTACTAGCGCGAGCGATATTTTGCTAACTATTCAGGAGAGTATGTTTGAAATTTTTGGCGACACTGCAAAATGGTGGATATGGGAGTTTGAAAAGCACGAATAACTCTCTCTGCAATGGCTAATGGTATTCATATCAGAAATCTACCGGTGGTAGAGTATGGGTTAACTACTTTCTTGGTGGTTCTAACTCGACTTGCCCAAAATGTCGCTTTCGCTTGTGCATTTATGGATGACGACGAATTGTGCACTCGTCCCCTCGTCTTTGAAAGCCGTTGTTTTACTTATCATGTCTTAGTCTGCCAAGTACAAGCCTTGCCCCTAGTGGAGAATTGGGGAAAGTTTAAAAAGACAAATACGTTTGAAATTATCCAAGACGGGGAGAAAGTTGTTGTCTTAGACAAGTTGATGTCTTGGACAGTGCTATCGTGATATGTGAAGCGTGCTGACAAAATGAGTTACTTCTCGGATTCAAGCCTTAAGAAAATAAACATTACACTTATAGGTGAAGTTTTTACAATTTATAAGTATGAAATAATAAAAGACAGGTTATGGTTAAAGAAAATGGCGTCAATAGAAAATCTTCAAATTTGACCCTAATGTCGATTTTTGGCCAATATCTCCCTTTGTCGGTTGCGAGAAGTGTTTGATTTTGTCAGCACGCCTCTCATATGGAAAAAATGAGAGGGTGGGAAGTTGGAAGAGGCTGTTTGTCCTGGTGAACGGACAGGTGGCCGTTGGAGCAGGTTTGACTAAACGTCCAAATTTAGATTTTCGAGACTTAAATTTTTTTTTTTCTTAACTAGTGATATTACCCCTATTTTCACCAACAGCTAGACACTCGTGTACCAGTCGTAGGATTTTCCACTTGACAATTTTGAAAGAAGTTGCCCCCTCGTAGAACCCTGGTAGGATTTGCGTCAAATCGGGGGGGTTTTTTGTGGGGTTTTTTTTTCCTTGAATTGTTTCCATCAATTGTTCCCAACTAATCTATCGTAAATGACATGAAAATACGGAGGTTAATTAATTCTAGTATATTTGCAATACACACGTTTATTTGCCACAATGAGTTTGTGAAGTAATCTGAATTTACTGAGGTTCTGGAGACTCTACAATTTTGTCCCCTAAAACTCCCGATTTTTAAGGTGGGTCGTGAGGAAAACTCGTATTGTTGATCTTGGAGGGTTGAGTGTGTCACAAAGTTAGTCTTTGAGGGGTCCTTGTATCGCAAAGTTCATCTCTGAGGGGTCGTTTGTGTCACAAAGTTCATCTCTGAGGGGTCGTTTGTGTCACAAAGTTCATCTCCTAGGGGTCGTTTGTGTCACAAAGTTCATCTCCTAGGGGTCGTTTGTGTCACAAAATTCGTCTTTGAGAAGCGAACAGCTGGACCGTACAAGCCGTGCCCACATCCAATCATCAAACATTTCCCGTTCTGTCTTCATCGGTGCCTTCATTGAGTTCACCTGAGGGGGGTGGGTTTTATTGAAAGATCAAGTTCACCCAAACTATGTGTTTATATACTATTGTTACATTCAAAGCAAGGTGTTTTAGGCAAAGATTTCCTCTGTTGACAGCGTTGGTGAGCACATGACGTTATTTATCCTTTTTTTTATCTGCTAAAGGCGTGTGGCAGTGACGACATTTTTTGGTCAGTTTTTGGAGAAAGGGACGTGTTCTTGAGTGGTCATTTAGCCTCCAATTTCTTGCCACATTTATTGTGAGTGCAGGTGATCATTTTTATCTGTCTTTGCAGTCGGTGTTGCTGAAGTGTTGCCGGGGTGGGTCCAGTAAAATACGAAGCTATGAGAAGCTACGAAAAAGAAATTGAGTAGTAGTGTTATCTTTTATCTTGTGTGTAGACTATTGCCTAGTTATTGGTGCCTTGATTTTCTTGTTTAGGTGTGGGAGTTTTTTTTGGGGTGGGGGTGGTTATTTTATTATAATGTTAAAAGAGTTGTTTTATTTTACCAACTGTGAAGCATGCCGACAAAATGAGTTACTTCTTGCAATCAACGAATGGGAACGTAGGCCGAAAATACACACATCAAATTTGTAAATTTTAAACTGATTGATTTTTCTTCAAGTTTAATTAATGCCTTTTATTATTCCATATCCCAAATTATATCAACCCAAACTATAACTTTGATATAATCTATCTGTGTCCATAAGACCAGAATTCGAAAAGTAACTCATTTTGTCAGCATTCTTCGCAGTTGTTGTAGAGAGGGCTGGAGAGCTCCACTCTGTTTGGATTAATGTAGAAATTAACACCCTAGTGTTCAAACTACCTTCAAATGTATCGTTACATTCCATACAAATATTTATTTGGGCCAAACTAAGGCATGTCAAAGCAAGCCTTGAATGATGGCGCTGGTAAATGCTCTTTTGCTCTTTGCCTGTTTACCTTTCCTTTACTTGTAGTAGGAGGATTTATCAGGAAGGATTTACCTGAAGAACGATATGATTCCTTCTGATAATGTATATCTATCTATCTATCTATCTATCTATCTATATA